GTTTTAACGATGGGTCAAGACGAATTGCGCGATAGCTTCTGAAGGAAGTTATTAAACGAGCGTAAACGAGCTATCGAGACTTTAATACGTCTTTTAAAAACGACCGATAATTGCAAGTCGAGAGTATGAAATATTCATGCGCGCTCAATTCCTCGAAGAAGCCATGTCGAAATTGTTTCACGATGCTCACCTTTCGATTCGCTTATTACTCCATTATTAAGTTTTTTAAAAAAATTCTTCCGCTATTATATTTTCGATGAAGATTTAACGAGGAGTCGATTTATTATGATTATTCATACGAGAAATTTTTCATGGCACTTTCGACAAGCCATGTCGAATTCGCTTCATTATTAAGTTGTTTAAAAAAATTCTTCCGTTATTACGTTATTGTTAAAGATTTGACGAGAAATTAAATTATCATAGTTATTTTATTTTATTTTAAATTTAATACGAAATTTTCATGGCTCCTTTTAACCATGTCGAATTTTATTATTAAGTTATTTAAAGAAATTCTTTCGTTATTACATTTTTGTCCCTTTTTCGATAAAGATTTAACGAGAAATTAAATTATCGTAGTTATTTTTGTTTAAATTTAATACGAAATTTTCATTGCTCCTTTTAACCATGTCGAATTTTATTATTAAGTTATTTAAAGAAATTCTTCCGTTATTATATCTTTGCCCCCCCCCCCCCCTTTTTGATAAAGATTTAACGAAGAGTCAATTTATTATTTTTATTATTATTACAAGATAATTAATATCATAATATTTAAATTTCATACGGGAAATTTTCACGGCCCCTTTTAACCACGTCGAATTCACTTATTACGCCATTATTAAGTTTTTTAAAAAAATCCTTCCGCTATTATATTTTTGATGAAGATTTAACGAGGAGTCGATTTATTATGATTATTCATACACGAAATTTTCATAGCTCCCTCGAGAAGCCGAATGTCGAATTATTACTCCATTATTAAGTTGTTTAAAAAAAACTCTTTCGTTATTACATTTTTGTCCCCCTTTCTAGATTTGACGAGAAATCAAATTATCATTGTTATGATTGTTTTTCTATCACAATGTTTTCATACACGAAACTTTCATGGCCCCTTTTAACCATGTCGAATTTTATTATTAAGTTATTTAAAGAAATTCTTCCGCTACTATATATTTTTTGTCCCCTTTTTAAAGTAAAGACTTAACGAGAAATGAAATTACCATAGTTATGATCATTTTTGTATCACAATGTTTAAATTTACATGGCTCCTTCTAGAACAAGCTATATCGAATTCGCTTATTACTCCATTATTTAAGTTGTTTAAAAAAATTCTTCCGCTATCATATTTTTGTCCCCCTTCTTTCAAATAAAGATTTAACGAGGAATGAATTTATCGCGATTATTTTCGTGATACTCAATATCGTAATATTTCAATTTAATTTCGACGAGAAATTCGAAAGGCAGTGAAAAAGAAAAAACACGTTTCTGAAATAACAATAAATTCACAATCCTTTCAAGTATATATATATATACTAAGAAAGTAACTCGTGAAATCGGTGAACACGGACGCGTGATTCCGCGAATAATTCCCAGACACAACCATACTTTGAGCCTAATTGGCCATCGATTGACAATTTGGATAATGTTGAATGTACGATAGACTCGTGGAATGGTATGCCATGATTGCGGCGGCCCGCATTTGAATATTACTGGAACCTTGTCGTTACTGGATTTTGGCGAATGCGGTATATCAGAACCGGAAACCGTCGAGTACGTACTCACTACACGACCCCGATTAGAAGACGGTATGGTATAGGAGGAGGAGGCGTGCGGTTAATCGGTCCGAAACGCCCATGTCTCGTCGAAAACCACTTTGCACGATCGTTAAAACGAATCGAGAATCGCGTTCATCGATTTCTTGATCCGCCTCGAAAATTCAAACCGTGATCTCCTTCTACCTCTCTCTTCTACCATTTGCTACTCATCATCCTACATTTTATATCATTATACATACATGTTTTACATTGGTAAGTATACGTATGATATAATTCTAGGGACTTTTGTTACCTCGGTTGGTAACCTTCTTAAATGTAAATACGAGTGCAAATGGTTTAAAGTTATCGACGCTTTCAACATTGGAAGCGAGATATATATATATATATATAGGCGCGACTCGAATCGACACTCGGATGCCACAGCGTGAATTTATCGAATTGCTAACGTGTTGATATCTCTGTTACATCGATGCGTCTCCTTATATAAATATCTGTTGATATTAAAATACGTAGTTTACGACGGTGTGTAAAGGGAGGTGGAAAATTTATTATTAGACAGATGGCGTTGCAGATGGCGCGACACAAGTTTCGTTCGCACGAAAGTGATGCAATGTTATTCGTCGAACATTTTCTTCGTTCATTGCGACAATAAACAACTTTCGCTTCCTCGGGACGATTCGATGGTTGGGCATAATTATTTCTCTTTTTTCAAATCAATCAAAAATTGAACGTCATCGAAATCTTTTTTTTAGACGAATTCCATTACTCTGATTAAATAGAATAAGAAACAAACTTAATAAGCGATAATATTGTTTATGCCTCTCTTACGTTACGAGATTTTATCGCGACGACGGCCGAGAGATAACGGATCTTAATTTTCCACAGTCACGAAACGTATAATGTTACACGCATATGCATATTCGTACGTGTTGCAGCGCGTGGTCACACATGATTTATCACTCTGTTATTTTCAAACGTGGGAATAACGTTTCCTATTTTTGTATCGTCGTCACTAAAAATTGATCGAAAGGCATCACCGCACGGACACGTTTCGTTCGCGGAATAAACATTTGAACGTTCTTTATTCTCCTCTCTCGGGAACTTTTTTTTTTTATCTTACAGCCAAGATCGAACGATTCTTCCTCGAGAAAATATCGATATTTCTCTTTCACCCCTATGCAAATTCCTGACATTTCTTTCCCTGTTTTTCAATAACGCATTTCCTCCAATTCGGATCGGGCAAATCTTTCAGAGTTTAGCGAGCGAAAGAAACGATTTGTTCTACGGAAACGAATGGCCGTATACATTTGATCGAGAAGAAGATCGCGTCTACTTTATTCAACGACGAAAATCCTCTCCTTTTCTACCACGACGCGAATTTCTCGTTTCCCTTTCTCTTTCGTTCTAAATCCAGCAAATTGTGTCAAAGTGGCCGCCATTTTGCTTCGATACTTATGGACGACGAATAAGTTCACGAGAAATACGCGAGAGAAAGTTATGGATATTAAAATTTTTCCAACATTTAATTTCTTCGTTCTCTATTTTTACTCTTTATTTTTTTAACTACGTTTTTATCATTTTTTCCTAAATTATTTTCACGAGGAAGCGATAACAGAGAGAACGGGAAGGCAACGACAAAAGGGAAACGATCAGATAAATTCAATTTTATTTCTCACCCACTCGAGGCGATTAATTAATTACGTGGCTCCATCGATTTTATATCGTGGTGTGTATCTATCTTAACAGCGGGACGAAGGAAACAAAATGCAATTTATTTGATCGGCTCGTTTGATCCCGCGACGATCGAAGTACCAGCTTTCTCTCTCTCTCTCTCTCGCTCTCGCGGTGTGGAAATAGCGGGATTAATTTTCGAGGAAATAACAACCGACGAGATGTTTTCCCTCGAAAATGCGTCAATTTGCCGGAGTTGCTGGAAAATTTTTAATAAACGGGTTATCAATCGTTCGGATTTACCCGACAGATATCTATTCCATTCGAGAAGGAATATTTACAAAAAAAAAAAAAAAAAAAAGCTTTTCGAAAATATTCTCTCGACGTTGTTATAAATGGATTGAACGTGCATTTCCAACGTGTCTCGTCGTCGCATCGACATTAATGAATGTAAAAAAAAAAGTATACAATAATAATAATAATAATAATTTTCGCGATACAATAATTTTTCCAAGCCTCGTTCAGAGTGATTTTCGATCTCTTTCTTTCTTTTTTTTTTTTTTTTTTCCATAGCTTCTTGCGCGGTGGAGAACATCAATTCTCTTGTCTCGTGCTCTAGTTTCCACGAAATCGATCGATTAATTGTGCGTGTACCGTGCAATTTAAAACGGAGAAAGGGGAAACGAGGAGAAAAGAATGTAAGGACACTCTCTGATTTCCATCTACCATTCGCGACATACCTGATTTATCATAATTTTTCGTAATATCGTAATATCATTGCGAAATATGAAGATTTGTGCAACGACAAGTGTATGTACATTGTTCGATCAACAAGATGATTCTGTTAATCATCGAATAAACTATGCTTGTGTCGCACCGTTCGCGTAAGTGCAATGCTTTTTATTATTCATCTAGATTGAATGGAGTATAATTATAAACAAACATGACAAACACATTCCAATTGTATTGTATAAAGTAATGCAGTATTTACTAGTGTGATTGTGGATGCAGATTTTTCTTGCCACGTTTGTGCAATGTTTTTTTCAACAAAAAAGAAAAAAATCTCTCTCCAAGGAACTTATAAAAACAATGTTAGAGTAGGTAAAATTTTCGAAGATATATTTTACCATCCCCGTTACTTGTTGTAATTTTCAATTACACTTCTTTCGGTTTATAAACAACAATTCTCTCTCTCTCTCTCGAGAGAGAGGATAACTTAACAGCAACGAAGGGAAACGAGCAACGAAACGCATCGCAAAACAAAACGAAACTTTGAAAAAACTTTCGAAACTTTCATATCTAACAAAAAAAAAAAGCTCGACTCGAGCGTTTTTTCCTCGAGAATAATTAATTAATTTCCCCTGTTCATCTCAATTACAATTGGACGAGAGATGAGCCCAGTGAAAATGAAAACTTCGTTGAACGAAAAAAGGAAAAAGGATTATTCAACCTGCATCCACAAAGCGGATAAAACCCGATCTGACGAGTAAAAAGTAAAGTATAAAAGTGAAGGGGCAATAAATAAAGAGAAGGAGAAGCGACAGATGAGTGTTGGTATACCTGGGTGTACGTCATCCAGCAACAGGGCTCCACCTGATTGGAGTCGAGGCCCCAGAAGTCGAGCTCCTCCTCGAACAAGGGGCCGCACACGTCGGTCGGGTAATGGAGCTTCCCTGTGCGATAGTAGTTGAGCACCTGGGCGAAGACCCCCGGATGCCTGTCGAAGAAGTACTCGTTCAAGACCGGGTCGTAGTTGGCGAGGGCCTCGGTCAGCTTCGACAGCCTGGTCGCGGGGATCTTCTTCAGGGTCGCCTTGTACGTCTCGTGCCGGATACCGCCCACGTTCAGGGTCACGCGGTTCTCCGAATCCGCGTTTAGAATGCTCATTTTGATCGCGGCTCTGCTATCGTCGGTCCCGACTCAGAGAAACCCACGCGGCCTGCAATCACAATCATTGTTGCAACGTCACGTTACGTTACTTCGTCGAAAATATACTATCTTCTCGTCGGTCTACGATAATTGTAATTGTAATCGTTCAATCGAGTTGAAAAAGTAATCGCTTAATGTTGAGTAG